GCAGGGATGAGGGACAGGGCCTTCTCGGTGGTGGCCTCTCGGCTGTGGAATGCCCTACCTGTAGACATCAGACAGGCCCCTTCACTGTTGGCGTTCCAGAGGAAGGTGAAGACCTGTCTCTTCAAACAAGCATTTGGCTAAACAGTGCAATTGATTATACGGTGCAATCGAACATAGGAACATGGAACAAGGATTATGAGAATGGTTTCTGATTTGGTGTTGAGGCGTTATGATAATGATTGTTTATTGATATTGATTGTTATGTATAATGTGTTTTAATTGCCTATGATACTGTCTTGTGATAATTTGTACTATGTAAACCACTTTGAGTCACCCAAAGGGGCTGAGAAAAGCGGTATAGAAATAAAGTAAATAAATAAACCACTGGGTGTAATTTGGCCAGAAGATGCCTAACAAACCAACAAATGACCATCACTCATAAAAACACCGACAAACACAGTGGAAGGGACTTAAAACCCCCCAAAACTAAATGATACAGTGCATGCACTGAAACAACTCCCCTGGCCCCACCCCATCTCCTCCATGAGAGAAAGAGCAGGCCATATCAGCTTTGAGAGCCAAGTACACTCACACACACACAACTGCCACAGCCAACACAAGAGGCACCACTGAGGAAAGATACATAGAAAGAATGAAGGAAAGAGACATAGGAAAGGATGGAGAAAAGGAGAGAGGGAAAGAGGGAAGGAAGGAGAAAAGAAATAAAGGAAAGCTAGAGGTAGAAAAAGAGAAGAGAAAGAAGAAGGGACAGAAAAAAGGGGGGATAAGGAAGGAAAAAGGTAGAAAAGAAAGGAATCAGACCGAGACCACACCAAAGCATGACCGGAGACAGCTAGTGTACAAATATATTTGTCTCAAAATAATGGGATTTTTTTCATAGCTCATACATTATTTTATTTTATTTCAAAATGGCAATGGTCAAAAATATAGTATAGAAAATCTCATGCTTGCAACTTGCAACAGTTCAGATTGAGGAGCATATACAAGAACGGAAGAAGAGAGGAAAACATCTTCCATGGAAAGTTCTATTCAAGCCAGAGAAAACAGAATATTAAAGAAAAACTCCAACTGTGCAAATGTTAACATGTCAGCCGGATGATGTTTCTTCAGCAGTTTTCAAAACATTCCCTCTTTATAACTTCTCAAACTTGTTAGAGACGCAACAGTCAGACGAAATTTCTGTGAAGATAGTGACACCCAGAGGACAGTTTTTGACTTACACACAGTAAATGTTTTTATCAGGATCCTGGTATTTGCAAATGTGTATTGCTCCATTTCAGTGCCCTGGTTCGTGCTGTTCCAGTTCACACATTGTCTATATCTGCCTTCACTTATTGAAAGTTTTCTCGTGGTGATAAAATTTGTTA